CATATTAATTAATTGACTGATTGTTACATCGCATTATTAATTATTAAGAGGATGAGATGTAAATGATTATATTGTCTAGTTGTTGTTTTTATCTTAGAAATTATAATAAACCATGCTTGAATGAATAACTTCTAGAATCTATTTAAATTACAAGAAAAGGATGTTACTTTATAATAGAAGAATATAGCTTAGATGATAAAAGCATATAAGAATTTTAATTTAATACAGAGTTATTTTATTCTGTATACCTTTATCAGTTCATTCAGTAAGTATAATGATAGAAAAGTTACTTACAGATTAAGTTATCATTTACATTACAATTACATGGAATAGATTTAAATGAGTATTCAATTGTATATACAAAATAAAATCAAGATTACTACTTAAAGGAATAATATAGTGCATATAAGACTTATTGTTTAAGAGAAGATCTATGCAAACCTACAACATATATGTCTAAGTATATGAAGTGAATCACTTGTAGATTTATAATTGTATTTTACAATCTGTCTAAAGTAAATACACTGTTGTATCTGATTAACAATATACTTCAGCTATGATTATATTAGAGAATTATAAAAAATGTATCAATAATAGATTTTCTGATTTCTTGATGTTAAAGAGGACTTAACATTCCTGTAATTCAATAATAACATATTTCAACCGATTCTAGAAATATAGTAAGATGATCTTTATAAGATAATATTACCAGTGCTTCATTATTAAGTTGGAGAAATGACAACTTGCAAGCAACCTATGATTTTATCAATTTATTAGCAGCAAATGATCAATATTATACTTTTAATGTGGTAATTAATTTTAAAGTCGCATAATGCTTATTATATGATCAGATGTTTTTGGAGAATTCATCTTACTGTTAGGATAGTAGATATTTAAGAAAGGCAATTTATTCTAAAATATTTTATGAAATGGCGATAAATAAGTAAGAAATAACAGGGAATTTATGCTCTAGTTCTCTTTTGCTTTTTTTCTGTAATTTACCTTCACCTTGTATATTTATTAGTCTAAATCTTTTGATTAAGCTAACATCTCATACAGATCTTGAGCATATTCCATTTCCTTTTTTACAAAAATTAATATTGAATTTCTATTACTTTTATAAATCAAAAATATCTTAAGTATTAAAGTTAAGATAAAGATAAAATATTGCAAAAATTGGGGTTATATTCAATTTAAGTAAAATCGACAAATTAACATCAAATAAACTTTTGCAAAGCTTGAATCTTGAAGAATATAGAATAAACAATTAATTGTGAAAATTATGCATAATATTAATAATCGATACATTAGATTTAAAACTTGCTTTATTGAACATAATTTATAGAATTTTTGCCCCTTAATTTTTCAAACATGATTATCTAAAACGAAGGAACTTTAAGAACCATTAACAGAAGACAATAGTGTTGTAAAAACGAAATAGAAGAGAATGTCTTTAAAACTAGTGCAATCTTCTAATGTTATTTAATCTCTTTTGAATTTCAATTCTTTATATTAGGTTAATTACAATAATATCCTTTATTTTTATGTTGAGATTACGACAAAGCTTTGTGTTCTCACCGCATAGAACTACTTTCGTTTCAGGTAATATAGATGACTAAATACATTTATGTGATGTTAAGAGAGGATAATAAAAAGCCAAGTTTGACGGTCATTTTTAATCATACTTTTCAATATGTTTCTCACCAGATGGAACTACTTTAGCTTCAGGTAGGGAAGATAACTCAAAATATTTAAGGAATCCTAAGATTTCCAATAAAGTAATTAGTTATATACAAACACACAAAAAAATTATTATTTTATAAATATCATATAATTAATTTAAATTATTAATTAGATGTTTTATAAATAATTTCCTATTAGAACCTTTTAACATATATGTTACAAAATCAGATTAAATTGTAAACTTTTAATGCCTGAAGATATTAAATTTATTATTATGAAAGAGAAAAATACGACATGACCTTTATAAATATCTTAAGGACTTTTTAAAAGATGCTAAGACTGATGGTGCTAAGAGTAGCATATAAATAAGGTTCAATATACTTTAGAAGTATTTTATTCAATCAATTGAATTCTCTTTCATTTACAAGACTGGAACTTATTGAGATTTATAAATTCTTGCAATTTTTACTTATGAAAAGCTTCTTGATAGTGTATAATTTTAAGTGTAGTTTTAGGTGTTTGAACCATAAATTTTGGATATATTTTACTAATTTTTCGCTCTTTACGATCAAGATTTATAAGTATGTCAATTTCATAATAATTTCCTTAAGAAACAGCATAGATTTATCATCAGTTTTTTAATTAGTTAATGTTTTAATAATCTAATAAAGATTATTCATGTAATTCTACAAAAATGAAAACATGTTATTATTGAAGTAAAAACATTTCAAGCTTTACAAAATAATCTAATCATCTTCTTCCACATAATATATTTGAAAGATGCTCATCAAATTAGGCTGCTGATAATCATAATAAAATAATTAATGATTCACTTTTTCAGGAAATTGTATTGATTCTTCCAATCTTACGTTTAAAGTAAAAGCTTTCTTTTTTATGGAGTATATAAAGGATTTGTTATCAACATTGTTATGTTCATGATTGAGGCAATTACCTTCAGAAGTGTATAAATAAATCTTCCATTCTTGCCTTCTTAATCGAGTTATTAGAATACAATTAATTCATAAAGTTTAAATCTTGAATCCACTTGTAGCAGTATCTATTTTGGATGAAAATTCCAGAACAATTTTATTAAAACTTATAAAGAAAACACTTAATGTAGAAAATACTCATAAATACAAAATATAAATTATTGCAAGTTATATGAAATTCTTGAAGAGAATAGTAATTATTTGCATAAAAATTGATGAAATACACTAAGAAATAAAAAATCAACTCCTAAATTAAGCAGCCAAAATAAAAATTAAACAGAGTCAAGCTTTATTTTAATGTTTATTTTATTAGTAGCTCATAGGTTGACTTAAATATATTAAGACATACAGATAGTTTATGAAGCTAACTATGTTAATACATGAGGACAAGGAACTGCCATCCTCCACCTATCTGGAAGGGTCATTCTTAATGTTCAGAACAAAAAGGTTTGACAACGATAGATAGAGATTATATAAGAGTTTCATAATAAATGATAATGACTTCAAACAACTTATGAAGACCTGTAGTTGAAGTGAGATGAAAGAGAAAAGAAAAAAGTAAAAGGAGATCATAAAATTTCGTCAGCAATAGAACTAGAAATTAATCCAAAGGCAGGAGGAGGAATTTGGTTTCTAAGATTCTATTAACTCAAGCTAAATATATTTCTTAATCATCTACATTTAGTTTTTCCCATCGGGTCTTTTTCTATTCCACCCTACTATACTTCATTATTGCCTTAAGTATTGCTAAGAGTTTTAAAAGCTGTATTTTCTCTAT